CTTTATTTCCAGCTGTGAGAAATGTCCCCTCTTCGGCGGCCGCCTGGATTTAACGAGGTCCAATTACACTTAGGCTGAGGGCGGCGTTAAACAATGCACAACGCGTATTATCTTTTTAAGCAGAACTCCTGCACATCAGGCTGAAGGAAAGGTAGCCACCTCGCAAAGGACAGTGGATATGTCTGTGCGAACAATGAAACGACATATATAACGACAAAGTGTTTGTAATTCCGCGAACACTTTTCTAACGAACCGAAAAACTCCTATAAACTATGAGCCATCAAAATTAGATAGAATCCATTACTCATCACTGGTCGATTAAAAGTAAATAAATAAATAAATAACCTGCGCACTGAAAAAATGGCTCTCCATTGATTGGTAATCAAGCTCACGGCTATGCATGTGGCCATTTCCTAGAGTTCTGCTTTCCCTTTTGTTGTGACTCTGCTGATTGATTGATATGTGGGGTTTAACGTCCCTAAACCACCATTTGATTATGAGAGACGCCGTAGTGGAGTGCCCCGGAAATTTCTACCACCTGGGGTTATTTAACGTGCACCCGCACCTTAGCACACCGGCCTACAACATTTCCGCCTCCATCGGAAATGCAGCCGCCACAGCCGGGATTCGTGCCCGTGACCTGCGGGTCAGCAGCCGAGTACTTTAGCCACTAGACCACCGCAGCGGGGCTTGCTTACTCTGCTTTCGATATATTTTTGTTCTCTTCAACATACTTCTTTTTGAAAACTTTTTAGTCGTTCAGCCTTTTGCTTTAGCAAGTAAAGCTGCTCTGACCTGCTTTCACCACCAAAAGCAACGCTGACCACCAGAAGGTTCTACCACTTCATTCGGCGTCCGCATAAAATGGAGTGCTGACTGAGAAAATTAGTGTCGTATAAAGACATTGGATGGACCGTAAACGCTCAGCAATAGATATATCAATGACACGCTGAATAAATGAAAGCCACTCCACCACCACGACAACTGCGATCACATCGACAAAGTTGGTAGTTAGTTGGAACCCCCGCTATCGCCAATGGTTCGGACCATGCCCCAGCAAATCAAGTGTTTTATACCTCTAAAACGTAAGTAGTGGACATCAACCTCTGAAGCAACGCTTCCGCTTTGGCGCAAGGTTTTCCAAGGTCACTTCATACTTCGTTTACACTGAACACGTGGTCTCTCTGCATGCGAATGCGTAACTAGGCATTTTCTTTCCTTCATTTGAAGTAACTTGTGAGATAGGCTCGCAGGCCCGGACTATAACATTGGCTATGCCCACTAACCTCGCAATCGCTTGCAATGGCGAAAAGTGCGAGCTAAAGGAAGGGCACAAAAAGAGAATGAAACGATTGCGTCGACTCTCGACGTTATTTAACATTTAACATAAAATCTGTGTAGTGGTCTTGATGATAATATTTATTGGCATGCTCTTCAAAATGACATTCGAAACGGAATGGCGGTTACCCAAAATCACGATAACTTCATCTGTTTGCTGGGTGCCTTTTTTTTTCGTAGAAGCAATTGTCTTTATAACACACTGCTTCATACGACAGTAGTGGCCTTTGTTCTACCAATGTCATCCCTGCTAATATACGTTGTATAGTGCGCGCTATCAGGCGGCAACTAGTCCAAGTGTATACGCTTTCATGAACGAGTCAAGGCCATGCCATCCCGCACGAAGCGTGCCCCTTATCAAGCATGCTGCTGCAGACAACTCGCTCTCGACAGCTAGGTATCTCGTACCGTTTACCTGTGAGAGATTAAAAAAAAAAACACATGCTCATATCCAAGGGTCTTTGTTGCGCCCAATGCATTACACTTCTCGAGTGCTTTCGAGCACCAGCCAATGGCTTCTGCCAGTGGCTCTGAATGCGTCTTGTTGTGTACTGAGATAGGCCCCCTGTACACTTCTTCCGTGAATTGCGTAAATATGCTGCCGTTGGAAGTGGCTCATCATAATTATGGACAAACCTCAGTGTGTCGATTTCTAACTGTCTTTTCACTGTGCTTCTCAAGTCCAATACAGTAACAGCTTAAACTGAAGAACAGCGCGTGCTTGCCTTCGTGCCTCAAACGCTGAGGTGAAGCTTGCTTGCCTCAGCTGTTAGAATCTGCGCAAGATATAGTTACGCGTATAGTTAAGTAATTGCTGCGTATAATTTTGTGATCAAAGTAACTCAGGTCCCAGTTGTCACGCTGGAGCTAATTATCAAGGCATACTTGTCACGGGGGCTATCTGCGTTGATTGTTAGATCTTTGAGAAGTATGTCAAAAAAATTTCCAGGACAGCAGTGTTTTCTTTTTCTTGCTTGCAGAAATTTCGAGTCACCTTCTTTGTACAAGCTGTGTACAAGCCCCTCCTCCTCGGTTATTATTGATCGGCAATCAACCCAATCACTGCTAACAAAGCACAGAAGACAGTAAAATGTTTACTAATTAATGCCGCAGCAACCAATTTTCATGCCCGACAGATAACAAATAAAATCATGCAATTTGAGTGCGTCGCCTTTCTTGCTCGTATGTTCGACACAAGGTATCAAGGTGACGCGAATAGTGATATAGATTAGCGCGGACCTTGTCACATACACACTCACATTCATTTTACAGGATAGTGACGGCATATATAGCCTCTAGCATGCATACTCATCCATGTAGGTTGATGAGACTCGAGCGAGAGCAAACCGCAGTCCTCTACGTTTTCGGAATCGTTGTCGGAATCGAGTTATCGGAAGGAGCCAAGAGACGTTTTTGGACGATGATGAAAACGTGAAGCACGTGTGAGCATGACAGACAGGCACGAGACACGTAGCATTCGCATATAGTTGAGGGACAATATTGTGCACAAAATACTTCTCTGTATAAGGCCGACATGACATATATATGAGACTGTTCATAAGTCTCTGTTACCCGAACGTGCACTTGCAAGTCTTTTGCGTTGTAGTAAGTCATTCGCGCTTTTGTCTTGGGAGAGAAGAACCATACCACTTTCTTTGTGGAACGAAGTTGGTATTCGCACGTTTCTTTCTTTTTCAGTAAACCTAAAGCTGGGAGCGAGAAAGTATCATGATTGTCCTTTCTCTGAGTAATCTGTACTTGTTTGAGGGCCTTTTTACAACAATAATATTACACATAATCCAGCCCAAACGTCCACTTTATGGTTGATAAGTTAAAGTGGTGAGGTTACAGACACTCCAGATTCCTACGTTGGTTCTGAGACAACGCGATGAACGGACACTCACGCAGTGTGCGTTCATTCTTCACACCGTGGCACTATGACTGTTTACACTCGCAGCTGCAGCCACAGCTGTGGAGATATTCGCGCCAGCCACACTGGCCTACGTATGCACGAATGTCATGCGAGGGTGACAGTTTCTTTGTCCATGAACAATTGCTCTCAACCCAGGCAGTGGCTACACGCCTGTGAGTGTTCCTGTAGGTGCTGGAAGTATGTCCTTCAGCCTTTTTTACTACCGAAGAAGCAGTGACGCACTAATTTATAAGAGTGATATCTTCAAGCAAAAGAACAACATAAAAGAAGGACCGTTACATTGTGATCCTAAAAAATTATTGACGCGGCGAATATTCCTGTTCAATGCGGCCACGGTCAGCAATGAATAATGTAGTAATTAAACTTATATAAAATAGCCGTTATACTCTATTGTTTCATAATCATTTCGATGGGGAGCTCACCAAAGGTCATGTTTATTTTTAAGAAATACATCTTCTTTTTATTGAGATTCATAGTAAACTGCTCTCGTGTGAAACGCTGGCTCCTGTCAGCTGTGACTTCAACGACACAACAAGGAATAACAAAACACTCGTTTAAAATAGAGAAATTCTGGCAGCGGTGGAAGCCACGCCTCTGAAGAGACTGATGCCTAGAACCAGCGTCGTAGACCACTCAGTCACGCTACCGGCACACTGAAATGCACTGCTGCCTTTGCAGTGCCTCGACAGCTAGACAACAAAAACAAACGCTGCATTTTCTTATTAGATACTCGTTGCAAAAGCTGTCTTGCAATTTCATAAATTCAGCCAAAAACACTTCACCAATTCCTATTTCTGGAAGACTAAACAACAGTTCAAGCTGATCCACAGAGTTTGCCAGATGACAATGACAACGCAGTGAAAGTGGAGCCCCCTGGACCGCGGGCGCCACTATCACCGGGTAATTTGTTTGGCAAAATAAAGTTTTTCGTTCATTCATTTCCGTAGACCTATACAAGAAAAATCAAAAGGCACTTCGCTTAAAAGGAGAATCCAGTTGGCGTTGCGTCGTACCTCGTAGCACGAAACACTAACAAGAAGAAAAAGAGAAAGAAAAACGAAAATGGGGAGTGATGGACCTTTTTAGGTGGGTGCGAACAGCGAAGTCTAAAATTGAATTGCACGTGTATTCAATAGGTCTCATGCCTAATCGAACACGAATACGTGTAGAAAACTGTGATGAAGGAACCATCTTCAAAATAGGCCTGAAATTCTGCAAATTTTTATTTCCAAAAAGAAAACTTCACGAACTTTGGTAAAGTGCCACTACCATCACGTGGAACCAACAAAAATATCATGATTAGAAAATACTTGAGGTAAGTTCGAACACAGTAATGATAAAACTTGAAAAGTATTTTTAATTGTAGTGTGAATGCGGAAGTTACGACAGCATGTGAAGTAGTGCGTTGTCATCGGCTTCCAAGTAATGCTAAAGTATTACGTTAATTTCGTAAATTAAGGTAATTAAAGTCTAAACGTAAACAGAATTATATGTCAGTCACTGATATCCTGCATGAATAGCGCCAGCAAGCACTGATGTCAGCAGCGAGCCTTAATTTCGCAATATATGACAATATTTATCCTCCAAAACACGTTTATTTTTACATGGCAGAAATAACGCAATTACATTCAAAAGTAATCAGTCATTTGCATTTCCTTGTGTTTCTTTCGTCACTACTCCATGAGTAGCGTTTGCAGCTTGCTAAAGAGCTACAGCGTCGCGTCAGAATGCTTTGTAGAGGTTCTTAAAAGAAAAACGAAAAAATAAGCGTGGTGCCATAACTGTCTCTCTCTAGGGAGGGCACCTCCACAGCACCATGCAGGGGATGGGTGGATGGGAATGAAAGGGACAGAAAAAAAACGTAAGAGAAGAACGTCAGCATTTTCACCTGAAAAGTGAAAATTTACTTCGCTGTGTTGGCTACGGCTTTGTTGTTTTGCCCATATACAGTCAGTTAAGTTTGGTTTCGCTTTGCAACATAGTGTGATCGCTCTGGAGTGACTTCGACGGGGAGCGATGCAAAAAGGGGCTCCCGGTAAGATGTAACCCCGCTTGATACTGACCCTTTTGAATATTAGAGAGTTCCCAGCATCCCTATAAAAGTACACTGAGTTGTGCCAGGACAAGAGCGTCTGCTCAAATCACCTTTAAGTTTGAAGTAACCGAGTTCGGGTTAGCGAGCTCTTACTGCATTTATCATTCAAACAAAAAAGACAGCGGTGATGTAGTCACTGTCTGCCGGTGGCAAGTTATTTTTTCATCCACTTCTCCTTCTTCACATTTACATCACAATTACCCTTCCCGTCCCTGTAACCTATTGGCGATTATGGTGGAGCCTGCACAAACAAATACAAACACATGCATGGTATGTACAATGTAAGCCACGACCTATTGTTTTATTTTTTAGAGGCAAAGCTCTTTATAGCGGCACCCGTTCATCGCTCGTAGTCGTAGTTGTAGTGTGTAACCAGTCTTACATTTTTACCTCGAAAGTGGTGCCGCTGGGAGATTTCTTTTGTGCGTTGTTGAACAATAAAAAATTCGCAGCCTGTGCGTTACCTAAAAGCCGAATTCTCCTGTCTCTCATTCCCCTTAGCAGCCATTGGCATACATTGAGCACTATCTGAGAAGAAAGGGTTGCTACGTTATACTCGCTGGGCGTAACCTCCTTCATTTAAGAAAGGCTTAGCGAGCGTTGGGCCGCAGTGCCATGAATACCGTGACTAGTATATACCAGGAACTCGAAGTGGTTAAAAGTGGGAATTAGACACAAAGCGCAAGCCGTAAGAAAGTGTGCGTGTGCCTCCTCTCGTTCAGTCCTTGGAATGTCCACTGGATGGCGGTGCTTTCATATGAGGAATATATGATGAAAAGATGCGAGATGGTGGTATTTGGAGTGTTGAATAGGTGGACGAACGGACACACAGACAGATGCATGGACGGATGCACGGATGGCTGCACAGACAGATGAACGCATGGACGGACGCAGGAGCGGATGAATTGAGGAACGCAGGAACGGATGCACAGATGGACGTGCGGACGCACAAACAGACGCACGCACGGACGGGCAGATGGACGCAGGGGTGGCCACACAGACGCACGCATGGACGGACGGAAGCAAGAACGAATGGACGGACGGATGCTTCGCCCCACTCTCCATCATTCACTCCGTGGATATGCTGCCATTTTTTTGTTTTTGTATCGCGCTCCGCCGTGGTGGTCTAGTGGCTAAGGTACTCGGCGGCTGACGCGCAGGTCGTAGGATCGAATCTCGACTACGGCGGCCGCGTTTTCTATTGAGGCAAAAATGCTTAGGCCCATGTGCTCAGACTGGCGAGCGCGTTAAAAAAACCCAGGTGGTCAAAATTTTCGGAGCCCTTCACTGCGGCGTCTCTAATAATCATATGGTGGTTTAGGGACCTTAAACCCTATATATTGATTGATAGCTGAAGCCACAGCTGAGGAAATATTCGCGTAATACTGCGCTGGCCTGCATGTGTGTAGAACTAATGTTACGCTCGCGATAGCTATCTGTGGACAGCTGCTGACAACCCTGGCAGCGGCTGCATGCCTGTGAGTGCTCCTGTAGTACTCGAAGGCCTGTCCGTCAGCCTGCAGTAACTCCTGAAGAAGCAGTGAAGCACTAATTGCCAACATTGATTACATGAAGCAAAAAAAAAAGGTGCAACGAAAAGAGTTACACCGTGGTTACGGATATTTTTACCACGAGCAAGCTATATCCGCAACAGTAAGCAATGAAAATCAATAACGTAATGAGCGAACTCCAAGATCACGAAATACAGTTGGCCTTTTTTATTTCACGACCGTTTGCTGGTACCCTTAACACAAGCCAGACTTTATTTTTTTTTCATTCTTGCAAGTACACCTTAGTTTCATCGCACAAGCTAATGAGTTGCACTTTTTTTATGCATGCCCACTTCTGCCGCTGTAACTTGCATTGTTCTACGAAAAATGCTGCAACAGAGAAATTCACTCTGGCAGCGGTGGGATTTGAACCCACGTCCCCAAAGAAACTGGTGCCTCAAACCAGCGCCTTACACCACTCGGCCACGCTACCGACACGAAGCGATGCACTTCCGTTTTCATTGTGCTTGAAGCGACATAACGGAAATGGTGGCGTAATGTATTTATCAGTAAGGCAAAAAAAAACCAAAAAGAAAGATATAAAAAAAGCATCGGGGAAGATGTTCTTTTACATCACTTATCTG